TTGTTCATCAAATACTTCAATTAAAATTTATGAATATGCTTTTATGAATGAATTATTTTATTTAGAATTTAAATAAAATATTAATTTTGATATTTTTATATTAATTATCTTATTTAGAATATAAATGAAACATTCAATTAGCCGCTATCAAACTAATGTATTTAGAATTTAAATAATTTATTTAGAATTCAAGTAATTTATTTATTATAAAAAATAATGAATTCATTTTAAATAAATTGTTTGTTTTTTTTGCCATTTTTATTTTTATTATTTTATCCAAAAACTCAATTATTTTTTCAGCTAATTGTTATCAAAACAATCTAGATCTTCCTATATTTATGAACCATAATGTACTCAATCTCTAACTTCTATGATTAAATCTTACTTCTAATCTTATTTGGAAACCATATATCAAACCCATTGCAAAATTAGCACCTGCCAAGGTTGCATTTCTTTATTTTGCTTGCCACTCTCTAACTAGGATTCTATTCTTTATCTCTACTAATCTCAAATCCGTCCTTGCATGAAATACTGTTGCCATATCTGGAGCTGATCTTCAAATAATGCCCTTTCTCTTTTAGACAAGGTGTAAAAATGTATTATAAACATAGTTAAACTTGCTCTTGCAACCAACCTTTAACCATTGTCACAACGTCATAAAGTTGCTTTTATTTCTCTTTTCTATAAATGCTTCAATGGGTGCTGCTCTAAAGAGCTCTTGTGCTATCTACTAATATTGTTTAGCCGGCCTTTTTTTTTGTCTTTCTGTTTTTATTTTAATTATTTTGTTTAATATTTATATAAAGTGTTTTTTATTTTTTGCTGTTTTTATTTTAATTATTTTATCTGGAATTTAAATAAAACATTTAGAGTTTTTAGAGCATGTAGGGACAGATACAGTAAAAGAGACTTTTCTGAATAAGGAGAATGAGTTTTAGTTGATGGAACTAGAGATAATAACTCCTTTCAGCAGCGTCCATGATTGTATTTTCAAAAAAGAATAAGAGATGCAACTTTATGACGATGGGATTGCGACTCAAGCTCAGCAAATAAAGCAAGTCCAACTACGTTTACAATGCATTTTTTGGACCTTGTCAAGAAAAAAAAAGCATCATTAGAAAAACCAGCCTAAATATGACAACAGTATTCCATACAAGGATGAATAAGATTTGTAGAGGTAGAGAATTTAATCAGGAGAAAGTAAGTTGCAAGCACGATTAAGAGAAGTAACCTTAGCAGATGCTAATTTAGCAATCAATTAAACATATGGTTTCCATAAAAGGTCAGTAGTAAACAATAATCTAAGAAGAACTAAAAAAGATATTATTTAACTGTTTATAATTTAATATAATTATGTGTTTAACTATGTTTTTACAGTAGTATTTTATTAAAACCTCTTCCAACGATAAAAAGATAAATAATTAGATAAAAAGTTTTAACCACCATTTTATAAATTGATGAGTATTTTATAAATTAAAACTAAAAATCTAAATAAGGTAGCATAGCAACTAAATAGGTAGCATAGCAACTAAACTTTTCTGAAGATCCATAAATTTATCTTAAACAATCATACAATTAATGACGATATCATGTTTAAGAAAAATTTAAACTAAAAATTTAAAACATATAACTACTTACATCCCACTTGACTTTCAGCTCTCCTTCAGACATAGCTAAGGCTCTTATGTTCTGAGGGTTTTTTATCGGCGCTTTAATAAAAAGAAAAAATACAAATGTTTCAAAATCCATAAGGCCAATATAAAAAACAAATAAATAAAAAATCCATATGTATATTCTGATCCAAATACTTCATGCTTTCGCAAATTTGTTATAATTTTATATTAGTATTTTAATTTGTTATACTTTTATATTTTAAATTTGTATTTTAATTTGTTATAATTTTATATTTTAAATTTGTATTTTAACTAGTTATACTTTTATATTTTAAATTTGTATTTTATATATTTCTTTATGTCAATATAATTTTTTATGTTTTTTTGTTTTTTTTTTTAATGTTTATTTTACATATCGTCAACATATTTTTGACACTATTGGTAATGTTCATTTTTTTAACAAATAAATATATTTCTTGCATGTTAAGTGTATAGAGTAAAACAGGGTAAAATAAAATAGCGAGTAGAATGAAATAGTTATAACAATTTTTATTCTTTTGCTCTTAATTTATTATTGGATAATCTTTTTGCAAATATTTTTAAACCACGTTGTAGAAAGCACTTTTCTAAAAAGATGATACCAAATTTTTTTTTGATGTAAAAAATTTTATATAAGTTTTTAAGTTTTCATAACAAATTTTGCTATTTTGAATAAAAAACGGAAAAGGAGAATTATTATTAACGCTAATAATAAATGAAGCAATAGCTCAGTTCTTAAATGCAGCTTTTTTTTATTAAATCTCAAGTGACCAATAAATCTCCAACCATAAATTTTTTGTACTAAAAAAATTTTTAATGAAATTTTTTTTTAATTTAAATGAATGACTGCTTTTATTGAATGATTCTAATGAATGAATGACACTAGTTAGTTAAATGCGATTTTTATTAAGTCTCAAGTGACCAAGCTATCTCTTGTTTTTTTTTGCATAATAATTTTGTGCATAAATTTTAAATGGATTATTGCTAAATTTTTTTAATATAAAATATGCCTCGAAACAACTTGCATGCAAAGAAAAAAGAAAAACTATACACCAAAGAGCAAGTTGCGCTTGTGGTGGTTTAAGTACAAAGTGGTGAATTTTCAGAAATTTTTAGAAGGCCTCTCAAACAGAGACTTTTAGGGTAAACAGAAAATCTTTGTTTGCCAGTCTTGCACATATTCCTCATTAAATAAGCATTAGTATAAAACAAAATGGAAATTAATACAAGATACCTACAAGATAGTACCCGGATGCAACAAACATCTGCTTAGTATGAGTATTTTTATTGAGACATCATTTTTGGTCTTAACTCAACTAAATACTTCAAGTGAATTTTTTTAATTTTGTAATTTTAAATTCTCCTAGCATAAAAAAACAATTCTTACAAAACAGCAGGGTAAATTTAATTTTTTAAAAGGTCCTGGACAAAATGTCCAATCAAAACTTGTTTGGGTCAGACAGTGTTTGATCAAACTTTTAAAATATAATTTTTACGGTTTTACGGACCTGAGCTATGCAATCAAAATCTTTGTCATGTTATTCAGTTTATTTAATGTTAGTTTAGTGAAATAGTTTTTTTCCTTATTATTTAAAATATTTCATCGCAGATTTTTGTTATTTAATAAAATAGTTTCAATTTATAAATTTATAGTTTCAAAATATTGTATTTATTTTAGATTTACACGCTGTAACTGACAGCGCTTTTTTTGTTGTTGTTGTTTACAATTTGACAATGGCTGTTTTGATGTAAAATAAACACTTGTGTAAATTAAATGTTAGATTTAAATTTTTTATTTAGTAGTTTAACATTTAAAATTTAAACGTTTGAAACTATTTTTCCATGTCATTCTAAAAATCTTTTAAAAGGTTATTTTTTAAGTTACTTTAAATTATGAATAAGTTAAATTAAGCCTGTCCATGATTAAAATGCTTTATTTTTATTTATTTTTTTTTGTTTCTATTTTTACAAATAATTGTTTAAAAGTTTGTTTTTTATTTAAACTTGACTTACTAATTAAAGCATAAAATAATTAAAAATTACGATTTTAAAAAGACTAAATTATTTTTTTTAAACAATTTTTTTGGCAACTTTAAAAAAAATATTTATACAACTATAAAATATTATATTTTTCTTTCCAATATTTAAGTTCTTTTTTCAATAATTTAAATAAAAATTATTCATTTACTAAATAACCAATAGAAGTAATTTGTAAAAGTGTTTTGCGAAATTAAACATTTTAAAAGATGAATTTTAAAATATATTTTTTTCAAAAACAATTAAAAACATAACAAAAAGTAATTTTAACTTTGAGTTTTTTTAAATTTATTTTAAAGATAATTTACTTTCTTTTTCATAAGGAATTGTTTAAAAGAAAAAAAAACTAAAAAAAAAACCTAAAAGAATAAGCAATTCTTTTAGTTTTTTCATACTTTTTCATAGTTTAATTTTAGCTTAACTTCAGAAACGTTTAAATCATCAAAACATCTAAACAATTGAGGTCATATATATAGCAAAAATATAGCAAAACAGTTTTAAACAGTTTCATAACCACTAAAGAATGACTGTATTACAGCAAAACAGTTTTAAACAGTTTTATAACCATTATAAAATGAATGTAATATAGCACATAGTCCCTACCACTAACATTAATGAAAATAGCATATCATTTTCCATAAGAATCCACACTTAATTTTTATTCTTTTTAGAATATACATAAATAATTAGAGTCTGCAATACAGGTTTTGGTAGTAGCAATAGCCCATATTTGTTTGTATAATGACACCTGTTATTACCAGTATTTGTTCTCTGAATACCAGTATTAATACTGGAATTTTTATTCAATAACTTTTAACTAATGTCTTAAGGGAGTCGTACTAATTGTTAATAATGTTAAAAAGGAATTTATTGTGTAGCAATTATTACATCATTCTTTATAAAGAAATTTGTTTCATAATCCGTAATCAGTATACTATTTATATTTTCTTACCTATCTTGTTATAATAATATTGGTAAACAATTATATAATTTATAATTACCACTTTTAGCTATATGTTTATTAACTAACTCAGATATTATCCTAAACAAACTGTTTATATTGTTTTAATTGACTGTTTATAAAAATTGTTTAATTATTCAATTTTCCTCCAAACGTGGACTTGTTTGAACTAAAAACACATCAGGCATTTTTAAATATTTAAATTGCCACCCTAAATAGTAACCAATAATAATATAAAAAGATAGGAAAGACAATATAAATAATATACCAATTACAAAACAAATTCCTATATAAAAAATGATATAATAATTGCTACACAACTAATTCTTTTCTAACATTATTAACCATCGGTATAATTCCCTTAAGACATTAATAACAATTGATAATATTCACTTTGGTCATTAATAACAATTGCTACACAAATAATTCCATTGGAAATAATTTTTACATGAACAAAATCTTGAGTTGCTGTTGTTGTTATTGTTATTGTTGTGTTAACAGTAAGTATTTGTTAATAATTAATAAATACTTAGTGTTGACACTATGTATTTATAAAAATGTCAATTTTTGACATTTTTTCATATTTAGTCAAAATAGTTGTTGCTGAGTGTGGTTTCTTAGAATTTAAATCATGCCCGACAGTAGTGGATATTGACAAAGAATGTAAAAAAGAGAAAATGTGTGACTACATCAAAAACAACAAAATAAGATGGCTTGCAAAAAATGTTCCAGACTGTAAATGCAGAACGCATTGTTACAACAAAGTGCTGTTCCAAGTGCGTGTCAATACTATTAAACAAATACATGCTAAAAATAAAACAATTTTAAAAATAAACAATTTAATTGGTCTGCTAAGAAAATAACTAGAAGATTAAATACAAAGAATTCTACAGAAGATCAAAAAAATCCTTAGATTATATTATAATATTAACTGCAGAGGGAAAAATTAAGATTTGAAAAAAAGCGTTTATATCATTACATGTAATAACACCAAACCGACTTGATAGATTGACAGATTTAAAGGTTTGTGATAAAATACCAGTAGATAGGAGAAGAAAAAACAAAGTTCTAATAAAATACCAAGAGAAGTTTGTATAAAAAAATTGATGATATTAGGTCGTATGATGTGAAGACTATTATTAATCTGGAAAAACAAGGTATTTGGATGTAAAGTTGAATATAACAATATTATACAATAATTTTTGCAAAAAACATCCAGGAATAAAAGTTTCATATGTTTTCTTTAGAAGATATTCTAAAGAAATTTCAACTTATGCTTTGGTTGCCCCCCAAATAGATGTTTGCAATAAAAATGAAGAATTAAGCTGCAAAATGAAGTCAACTTCCAAACATTCCTGCCCAGGAAATACTTTACATGAGCTAATTTTTAAATTTTTATAGAGCTAAAAATGAGTGAGCAAAGTTCTAAATATAAAATGAAGGGAATAGAAGAATGTCTCTAGACAAAGTTTGGACATTTTTGTTTGATTATATGAACAACAAATTGCCACCAACAGTAAAGAACCTTATTTTATTAAGTTATTCATGTGGCGAACAGAACAAAAATCATACATTATTAAAATTTTTAAAGAATTCCAAAACATCATGTATTATTTTCCAATCTTGGGTCATTCATTTTTACCCTGTTATCAATACTTTTGAAACATAAAAAGGTTGACCTGTTGTTTCGATCGGATGTACACTACTGAGCAATATGCAGAGCTCATTCCTAGAGCAATTAAACGCAATAAAAATATAGTTTTGAAAAAACTTGAAAAATATGTTGTTGAGTACAAGACTTTTATAGTAATACTTTCAAGTGGACAACTACCAAAGCAGATGAATGCCCTGCAGATGTTGAAGAGTAGAGTTTATATATTATATACTTTATTTCATTCTTTACTATCTTGTAAATTATTTGAATACTTTCATTTCATTAATATAACAATAATAATACAACAATATTGCTTGCAAGCAGGAGGTTCTTAAAATAAAATTTGAAGCAACTTGCTTTAAGTAAACAGAAAAGTTTTTTTTAATATATTGAGGATGCTGATTTTGTAACGTGTGTGGTTTTTACATTTCACAATTTACAGTCTAAAAAGCATTTTAATGTTTAACTTTGCACTAATACAATAGATATCATAATTTAATAGATAATATAATTCAATAGATATCATATTTTAATAGATACCATAATTCAATAGATATCATAATTTAATAGATATTATAATTCAATAGATATCATAATTTAATAGATATCATAATTCAATAGATAACATAATTCAATAGATATTATAATTCAATAGATATCATAATTCAATAGATTTCATAATTCAATAAATATCATAATTCAATAGATATCATAATTTAATAGATATCATAATTCAATAGATTTCATAATTTAATAGATATTATAATTCAATAAATATCATAACTTAATAGTTATTATAATTCAATAGATATCATAATTTAATAGATAACATAATTCAATAGATATCATAACTAAATAGATATTACAAATATATAGATATAAAAATTGTATTTAACTAAGAATTACCAAGACCTCATTAAGAAAATAGAAAAAGCAATAGTGAAACTAATACAACATGGCAGTAATAAACCGTAACAAAGAATATGGTGTTTGAAGCTGTTGATGTGAAAAACAAATTAAAGTAGCTTCATACACATTTGTGAAGTGTTCTCTAAATAAAGATATTAGAAAGAGGTGGTAATGAAGGTACAGGATCCAAAAAAACTGTAAAAAATTTCATGAAAGACACCATATAAACCAAGTTAAATAAAATTTTAATAAAAAAACCAATCAATTATTTTCTGCAATTATTTCTTGGATGGTTGCAAAGAATGGTTTGACATTTGCAAAGTTTAGTTTGTCAACTGATCTTGGCAGCTGACTATAAGCTAAAGGTAATATTCCTAAAACTCCTAAAAGGTACAAAATATTTTTTATGGACTACGGAGAAAATGTAAAAAAAAAAAAAGACATGAATTGCAATCTTTAAAAGTACAAGTTGTGAAGTTCAGTTTGACATTAGACAAGTGGACGTCACTAAGGAATTGACAGTGAATGAATGTTAACGTTCATGGAAATGTTTTATAACCTTGGTATTACTTGAGTACACAGAAAAATGCCAGCAGATAGATGTTTGAAAATTTTGAAGTCTAAATTGGCCTTGCTTTACCTTGATTTAAAAGACCATTACGACTGATGAAGCTACAGTAAGTCCTTTTTGGACGATTTTCACATCAATTCAACATCAATTATGTATAACACACAGCTTTTAATTAGCCATATTTAAAGATTTATACTAAAAAAAACTGTTCTACTATGGAGCAAGAAAAATAAAATCACCCAATACAAGCCTTCCCAGGAAAGGTGTGCGGTTTTTCATCTTGTATAACCACGAAAACGTTTTTCAAGTTTGAGAACGTGATCACGGCCATTTGCGCAAGTTATATTATATGCGTTACTGAAAAATTGTTTTAAATTTAATAACTACATAAGAAATTAAAGTAAACTTGAATAGAAAATAATAATAATAGTTTAAATAATTTGTGTGTTGTTTTTATTTTTGTTTTTTCTTAGTAATTATTATTATCGGCAACAAAATTCATTAAGTCAAAGCCAAAAAAAAAAAAAAAAAAAAAAGGTTTTAGGCGTTAAAAAGGATGACTTTCCCAAATTTTAAGTGTTTTTTCTTTTAAAGAGGAAAGAGAAAATATGTATATAATATATAAATATGTAATCGTCATCTGTTTGTAAAATATATTTGTATAATTATAATGTAGCAAGTTTACATCAAGAGTTAAATTATACGATCGCGATTTGCAAACTCTGGTAAAATATTAGGTCTATAAAATTTTAGTTCATTCAAAGCTGTGTACTTTGTTTATAAGGAGAAAATTATTAAAAGTTTGCTAGCGAGAAAGTTACAAAAAACAAAACAAAAAAAATTAACTTACAACTACAAAAGTAATAACACTTTAGTCACTAAATGCATTATAAAAGTAATAAAACTATAATAGTGTTATTACATTTATAAAGCACTTATTACTTTTAAAGTTCATTCTTTGTTAAAACAACATTGTTAATTCCAAACATTTATTAAAGTAGAAAAGCATCTAGAAAAAATAAAGCGGATATTCAAAAATTAGTAAAAAATTTAGGAACTTTCACAGATCACTTAAACAACGTTATAAAAAAGTACTTTATGAAAAGTATCATTATGAAAAACGTTATGTAAAAATGCGTGTTAATTTTAAAATCAACCAATAAAAAATTTTTATTGGTTAATTTTAAAATTATCGCGCGTTTTTACGGTCCAATAGTAACGTTTTTCATAATGCTTAACTTTTAATACGATACGTTTTCATAAAGTTGTTTGTCACGTTTTTATAAGTTACTTTAGTTTTAATATTATTTGAACATCCACTTTATTCTTCTAGACATTTTTCTACTTCAATTAAAATTTGGAAATTCTAATGTTGCTTGAACAAAGAATGAAATTTAATAATAACACTATTATAGTGTTATTACTTTTAAAAGTAATAACACTATTATAGTGTTATTACTTTTAAAAGTAATAACACTATTATAGTGTTATTACTTTTAAAAGTAATAACACTATTATAGTGTTATTACTTTTGTAATGCAGTTAGTGACAAGAGTGTTATTACTTTTGTAATCATAAGTTTTTTGTTTTACTTTTTATTTTTTCGCTTACAAATTTAAGTCGATTCTCCCCTTAAAAACAAGGAACACTGTTTTGTATAAACTAAAATTTTGAATACTAGATATTTTTCCAGATTGTGCATTTTGCATTCGCTTAATTCAACCTTTGTTGTTACATTAAAATTATACAAATACATTTTACAAACACATTGCAATTTGTATTTTTGCTATCCTCTTAAAAAAAAAATTAAGTAAAGGAAAATCATTCTTTTTATTGTAGACTTTAAACTGTTTTTTTTTGCTTCGCCTTATCTAATTTTGTCGCTGAATGTAACTACTGTTTTTATTTTTGTAAAACAAAAATAAAAACAGTACACAAAGTATTTAAATTATTAATTGGTTTTTCTTTTTTTCTATTTTAATCTCTTTTTATTTTGTTAGTTTAGTTTTTTTTGTTTTTGAAACTTTTTCAGCATTATTATAAAACTTGCAAACGGCCGTCTTCATGTTTTTTAAAATAATGTAATAGCGTGTGATCATACGAGACGAAAAACCGCACGCCTTTCCTGGGAAGGCTTGCAATAACAAACATTAATAACATTTATTCTTATTTTGATGATAAAATTGAATCTAATATAGGAATAAATGTTAGACTTGATATATCACCTGAAATTCATATTAAAAACACTGATTATTCTTTCATAGAAAAAATCAGGAAAGTCATGAAGAAATTTAAAAAGTCTTCCTCTAAAAATTGTTCCATATTACAAAAATATGTAAGAAACATGCTTGGAAATGTTGTTAGTTTTAGATTTTAAATCCAAGTGGAAAAATCTCTTAGATATCCTCAAGCAATTTTACAAGTTGTGTGATTGTGTTCAAAAAAGCTTGATTGATTTAGAAGATTTTAACTTTTTTTCTGCAGAATAAATTTATTATAAGGTATTATTGATACATTGCAACCAATCAAAATGGCAGTTGAAAAATTGTGTTGTTCTAATTTTAGTACCAAAATAAAGTAGTTATTTAAGTACCAAAATAAAGTAGTAAATTAGAAACCAAAATAAAGCCCTCTTTAGATGTTAAATTACTTGATGTTTTTTAAGACCATGATTTGTTAACTTGATAAAATAATTGACAATAGCTAAAAAGTTGTGCTTTTTTTTAATTTTGTTTTTGATAACAGTATAATACTGGTATTACCAGTTCTAGAAAAATGTAGTTGCGGTATTACTGATTTTAGTAAAATACGGTATCTTGCATGCCCTATAAATAATCTTCACATTCTTTTTATATTATATTAAAATATTTATTCTTATTATTGAATGTTTATGTTATTATATTTTATTACATACTTAGGAGTTAAAACTACAAATTATCAGGAAGTTAAACTTGTATAAGATATGCAATTCCCCCTCCAGTCCTTTCACTGATTACTAGTGTACAATTTCTACAAATTGAGCAAACTTACCACCAGGTGGTGTGACACACAATTCTTTGGTAGCATCACTAGGATTACTAACAAATGTTTCATTAAAAACTTTATCATTATCTTGCTTGGTTACACGAAACAACAACCGTGCTGATGGAGGCAACGTGTTAACTTCCAAATGCACATAAGTATTTTTAACTGTTTTATATTTTCTCCACATATCAGTACCTGCTGATGAATACTCTATGATGAATTCAGTTGTACCAAAAGCTATGCGGGAGTTCCAAGAAAGAATTACAGTTTTATTGAATGTACAATTACCATTTAACTGTAAATCAGTAGGTACAAAATCAGTAACTACAAAATAAAGAATTAAATTCAATCACTAACAAAATAATAATTTAATAAAATATTTCAACTTCTTAATAAATCACATTTATTCATAAAAAATGATTACTAAAAGAAATAAAGGATTATATTTAAATTTAAATTCTTCAGTAGTGTCAATGTGATGTTAGTGGTTGTTCATTTGTTCTACATAATATTTTTGATGTTTACCTAACTAGTTTATTTTTACAGTATTAACCTTCAAAAGATGACAGGGGTTACTACAGTTGAAAAAGCTACTTGTTTTTTTTAAACTGATGTTACAGCCCTAAAAAAATTTGAGTTTGCAAAAGACAAACACGTAAAATTAGACTTGTCTCCATAACTATCCGATGTCAAAGTTTTAGCTGATTTGTTTACTGGACCACAGATAAAACAGATGCTTGCATCAGAAGGTCCTTAAAACAATATAACACAAAAAAAGAGCCTGGGTTGCATTCAAGCATTTGGAAACAATGGGGTTGAAAACTACTAGGAAATGATTAATAAACTACTTGATTGTTATTTGGAGTTGTGCTGCAGAATGTCACTCAAACAGCACTATTTAGATTCTTATCTTGTCCTCTACAGTACTATTCTAGGAGTAGAATTTTTTCTCCAGAACACATTGATCTATAGTGATGTCTCCATCTTTAAAAGATAAAAACAATCAAACCTACATTTCAAACTTTTTGAAAGTTTATTGTAGTTTTATGTTAACTTACATACCACTATTTAAACCTAACTTTAAATTTAATGTATATTAATGTTAATTGTGGTTTATCTAAGTTAATATATATTATTTTTGTTTTCTATTTTATGATCAGCAGGAATACATTACATATAGTTATCTCCACATGTATATTATCTCCAAAATATGCTCAATATAGCTTATCTCTACAATTCTGTAGAGATAAACTGATAGCTTGGCTGCAAATACAGCTGAAGGAAGCCTTAAAACTTTTTTCTCAAAACATTTTCAAGACATGAATAATTAAATATTTTTAATATTACTTACTCTATGAAAAATAGTTAAACTATATACTCTTTGTATTTAAAACAAATAGCATTGCTTAAAATATACATGGGTCTAACTGTCTAGAATTAGCAAACCTAAAAACAATGGTGTTATTTCAAACTTGAAATAACACCATCGTTTTTAGGTTTAAGATTACACTATTTATTGAATCAGACTTGTTATTAAAAACAGACCTGTTATTGAATCTTTTAAGAGACAGTATAATTATGCACAAAAGTTTAATCAAGATGGAGTTTTTCATAACAAAATATTGATTTCTCTCATATTAAAACTTAATGGAACTAAATTTTAAGATTAGTTCATTTTTTATTTAATTTTATTTTTGTATAGGTAAAATAGCCACAAAAATTATTTTTATAAATGCCATAAAAATTTAATCAATTATAAAAAGTTTGATTGAGTTTATATAACTTTTAACTCTGAAAAATTAAACATTTAACTGAACAACTTTAATTAATAAATACTCCGAATTTGCCATGCTTAACTAAACAAAATGCTTAATTGCAAAAAATGGTTAAATTTTAACTTTCAATATTTCAAATTTCAATTTGAGTACAAATTAGATGAAATCAGTATCAGAAAAGATCAAATGGCAAAAAAATAAACAAATCAAAAAAACAAAGCAATGCTGAAATAGACAAACTTGAAGGTATTGATTTTGATAAGAATTGAATTGATGAGGTATGATTTTTGCATGCAAAAACAGTGAAAATCTGGGAGCAGACTGGTGATGTCGCTGACATGCAAATTTCAAGGTTGTAAACCGCAAAAAAGAATCTACATTAAATGAGTTGCAACTGAGAAATATTGGAGATCGAATTTATTAATAAAGTATTTATATGGCAAAATGAAGCAATAAATTCTCTAGCAAAATGGGGCTCTCGGCACATCGACATGTATTATAATATACTGGTTTGACACAAAAAAGATCAATTGGTTGTTTTGGTCCCCTAAATTAACAGATCTTAACCTCCTTGGAGGAGGAGGGGTAGAAGGGCTATAGCTTCGGGACTCAGGCCGCAAAATAGTCAAAAGGACCTTTCTGTATTTTATTTAGTCATTTTACGCTGTGGCAAATAAAAAAGGCCACCAAAAATAATGCAACCCCCGGCCCTGAAAAGTCCAACAAGATTCAACCAATAAAACTAACACAAGATGATTTATTTATAAATAAAAAAGTTTTTTCAATAACTGTTTTACGCTTTGCGTAGTTTAAAAAGTTTAACACATTTGAAACATTTCTTCTTAGTAAGATGAACAAATGAAATAATTAAATCATTGAGTTACTGTAGAAATTCAATTAGCTAGATAGAAATTAACTAAAAATGTTAAACTACTTAGTGAGGAGGAAGCGAAACTGCTTCACAATACCGCTGATGATGTTTAGTGAGTGGGCTTTATAATTTTAATTAGTATTTAAAACAGAAAAAAATAACTTTAAGTTTAAGTATAACGAGTTTTTAAGAATGGCTGAAACAGAAATAATTGACTAATTTCTAAGAACTTAAAAACTTTTTATTCTTGGGGGAAAGAACCAGCTATCGGGTACACTGAGGAAAATCGATTAGTGGTTAAAATTATTTGTATTAACTTTGATGATTATTAATAATTTCATTTAAAATGCAGTTATTATTGAAAGTATTTTAGTTTACAAAATCAATAGCACAAATTTTTTTTTTTTTTTTTAATTTTAATTTACCTCCTCAAGGCTGAGAAGGCCACTACAGACGAGGAGGCTACTTATTTGTGGTTATAACCCTCTCTCAACTCTATAACTCTGAAACACGAACCTTGACGAGCAAGGCCGCTGCGCGGAGAAACGAGTTGAGCGCGGTACTACCAGGGACGTGGTGGGGATTGAACTCGGAACCACTCGTTTATGAAGCGAGCACTCTACCACTACACCACTACCGCATACAATTGCTTTAAAAGATTATATTTGAATAAAATACACATACATAAAATTACATACATAAAAAATATATACATAAAAATACATTACATACATAAAAAATACATCACTTATATATAAAAAATAAGAATATACTAATAAAATCTATAATATATTTACAAAACATTGACAAGTTAAAAAAATATAAATTTAAAACATTTATTTTTGAATCAAATAATGTTAGTTTAAAACATTAATAGCTTAGTAGATGTGGCACGAAGAATTAAAATAATAGTTTGTTTGATAGTATATTCTTAAAACAATTTATGCTAGAAATCTCAACAAAAATATAACAAAACTTAAATAACACAATTTTTAAAAATATTTCAACAGAATACTCTAGAACATTCAGTTAGTACTTTTTGATTACTCTAGAAATTTCGGTTAGTATTTTTTGAACCAATAGAATTAGTTGTTTGTAGATTTTGCAGGTTTTTTGTGTTTGGGAATACTCTTTTTTTTATTTTTCCGCACAAAGATGTTTGAGAACATTCGAGTTTATGTATGTTTCCATGTATGTCTGTAAAACAAAATATTTTAAAATTTAAGATAAAATAATGAACTTAATTATTATTTTGCGGACAAACAAGGAAACATACATAAACTTAAATGTTCTCAAAATGACTAAAAAATCTGGCCGATTTTTTGCAAATAAATTTTATTTCCGTGGTCAGTTATCGAGTGCGATCGCACTCGCTTCCTGACCAAGCCTGGCTCAATGATTTTTCTTTTAAAAGTAAAAAAATTATTTTTTAGGTTTTCATTTTATCAAAAAAGATTATTTGAAATTAATTCCTCAATTAAATGTTTGTGCATAACTATAAGGGGTATAAAATTTTTACAAACTCAATGAGCATATCAAATTCTGATAAGCTTTTGTAAATAATTAAGAGATTTTAGTTTCATTATAATGTTTCTAGAAAAAAACTCACGCACTGACCCACTTGAAAGCTGAGCCAAAAGCTGTTAACCACATAACAAATATAGCCTACAAATTCTTTACTGTTATTTTGAAGTAAATTAACAGTAAGAATTTCTTTTTTGTTATATTGTTTTTGGCTTCGTCTTAAAATAATAAGTTATTTTCAAATAAGGAATAAAGATATATATCACTTAAATAAAGCTATATTGATAAAATTAAAAAAACATCAAAATGTTAAAAAAACTATTGGCTTCCTCCAATTCTTTACCATTTTCAGGGTTAAACCTTTGGTTTGAAAATCAGATATCTGCCCATTTTCCAGCAACAACTTAACTGCAATCTCAAGTTGTTCTCTGTCTGTAGGAATTAATACGTAAACAAGTAGTAAATAAATTGCCCAGGAGTTTCATCTAGATTGGCTAACATTTGGTAAACTTTGAAAATTAATCTTAGGAAATTTATTTTCATTCCGAAAGCATTTCACTATGTTAATCAGATGCTACAAAAACTGCATGTCATCTCTCCATTTCAGTTCATTCTCCTTTAATGGCATACCACTATTGTCAAAGTTCAATTTTAAATAGTCATATCTACTACGTATTGCTTCAACAAAATAATATGGCAGTTCAGATGAATTGGTATTACCTCCAAAAAAAGTCATCCATACATAACTTTGATAATCGATCTAACATATGGTGATGACTAACCAATATAACGCTAATTTTGACTAAAAATTACTAACCAAAATAACGCTAAATTTCACTAGTAAACAAAATAAATATATGGTGTTGACAACCAATATAAAGGTTTATGAAAGCCAATACTATAAAAATGTATCATTAATTTCTTTATCGTGCCACTTGTTTTCCCACTATTTTGTCACTATCATTTTATAATTCCTAATAAATCATATTTATTCAAAAGTTCTCGAAGTTCTTCAAAAATTGTCTCTGACTTTTCATTCTTCAATAACATTAACTTTAGTCTAACCTATTATTTTCTATCACGACTACTTGATGTTCTACCCAAGCTATCTTTTTTCCATCAAAATGCAAGCACCAATTCTTGAAGTTTTTTTCCTTATTTATCTTGTAACTTTTTACCTTCCCTGATAACTGGTTATAGATTGCTGGTTGAGTTAGTGCAGGAAGATTGACATCAGCCATCTAAAGTTGTTGAAACACTGTGGCAGCTTTTCATGTACTTAACTTTGCTTGTTAAACCAATTTAACTGCCTCAACTGTCCTCTATTTAACTTTTTGTTCATTAATATTAATTGAAGGTTCATAATCACTGTTACTTTCTTTTACTGACTCATTACTACTTCCGTGTTCCTCTCTGTATTCATTTAGAATTGAAGTTGATAACATTAATGGAACGTTTCCAATTTTAATTTTCTTTGAAAGATGTATTTTTTTAGGATCATCAGGCTTCATTGTAGTATATCCCACTCTACCAAATGTCTCTAATTGCTTTAAATATAGATTTTTATCCTCAGAATACTATCTAAGTCCATCCTCTATTGTTATATCTAATAAACCATCAAAACTATAAGTACATGGTTTTTTGATTTCTATTTGTCTCTTTTGTATCAATTTTTCTATTATTCTTTGCACTGATTTTTTGTCTATTGTTAGAAAATTCAAATTAGATCATTTACAGTCTGATGCCAAGTTGGTGTATCGGTTAATTATTTGCCAATTTGTTGTCATTTTACATATTATTTCTAATCATTAATTACTAATTCTTGAGGTTTACCCTTACGTAATTTCTTACTTTTTTCAAAGTGAATCAAACTTATTTTCCATACGTCTCTTGATATTTTTGTTGCAGTAGAATTTTTGTTTGACATATTGAATGGTTTTGTAATAACTAAACTTGTAATGGTTTATACAATTTATTTAATTTAATTAAATTTCTCAATGCTAAATTTCACTAGGAAACAAAACAAAAAATTTTTCCCTAACAAAGCATTAGGTTAAATTAAAAATCATGAAAATCGTTGCGTAAAAGATTCTAAGATCTCCTACTTCAGTTTTTAAAATAAATTTAGCGTTGTGTTTTTTACGGACAATCCCTTAGGAACAATAATTCATTTGGTGTGAGTTTTTTAAAAGGATGTACCTTACAACTGTAATTATTTTTTTCAAACTATAAAAGCTCATAACTAGGTGACATGCTCATTTGAAAACCTTAAAATTATTTTTTATTTTAAACTAATAAATATATAAGTACTTGGTACATAGCCCCAAATATTTTAGTAATGACTTTGGCTTACAAAAACTTGCACAAATAGAAATTTCAAAGAAACTGAACTCAACTCCAAGTCCTACAACTTATAGCATAGAAAGAAAGCAAGTTAATTTAAATATACTGAACTCCCTTATGTTAAATATTCTCCCCCAAGCTTGATTCTGCTTATAACCAATCAGAGTTAATTTTCCATGTTTTAAACCAATTTAATGCAGAAGCATAATAGCTAAAAGCTACTATACCTAAACAAGTTAATACCTAGAACATACACAAATTTAAAAAAATCTTCAACCAGTAAATGATTGCAGTGTGTTTATTTTTTATGTTAATAATTTCTTTTTCATTAAAAGTCTTAACTTATTTAACAAGTTTACTATATATTATATTTATGTATTACATTTTACTTAGCGAGATAGTATATAATATATAATCAATGGTATGAAGTGCTGTGAACAACATTTAATGAAACAAAAATATATTACCAATAACTTCAACAGATGCACTTGCTTCATCTGTAGAAATTACTTTATCTCCATCCATATTATAGACTTTACAAACATATGTTGCAGCATCTTCCCTTGAAATGTTTTTGAAATATAAAACTCTACTTAGTTGATTCGCTCTCTTTTCTAAGTATACACGTTCATCTTTTTGTTGAAACTTTTCATTGTTACGATACCATTCAATTTTAAAAGAAAGTGACGATTCATAAGTGGCATCACATAACAATTGTGCCATTGGAGTGTGTTCCATAAAAACTCGACTCATTGGAGGTTTGAATATCTTTACTTTTTCTAAAACAAAGAACAATTTTGTGCTGAAAACACAAAAAATGAATTGCCTGAAATATATATTTTTTAACTTTATTGCAAACTTATTTTGTAAATGTAAATTCATACAAAATTATAAAGGATAAAGTGTGTCACTTTTTCCTTTATAATTTATTTAAAATTATTTTTTCCAGTTAAAATTATTTTTTCATTAATTAGAGAATCTATTTTGTGAAAACAAGTTCTTAAGTTACTTTCCCAAACAAATTGATTTTTTCATTAATAAGTCATGAAAAACAAATTCATTAATTACATGAAAAATTTGTCAGTACAGTACTTTAACTAAATTTATTAATAAAAAATGATTAGGTAAATCATAAATGGCCTAATGGTCGATTGAACTCAAAAAAAGCAGCGATCTATTCTTTTCAAGTTTTTAAATTTCCCATTGAAAGTCCGAAATTTCCTGTACATAGACAATCTAGAAACAAATTTGAAACTTAAAAAGCACCCTAAAAAATGTTATTTGTATGCAAAAAATGTTTAAATTTTTAACTTTTTACTTGAACTACATATTGACTTAGAGTCGAGAATGATAATAATTGCATATTTTAAGGCTAATAAGGCTGAGGGTTTAAGCCCCTGTAGCAGTGGGTTAATGTTTTAGTTTAGACATTTATTTAATCAATAGAAAAGATTTTCTAGATTTAAAACTTAAAAAAAAATGTTGTCATAAAACTGAATATCCCCCTCCACACCTTGTCACAAAGTCGTCATAAAATCGTTAAACCCTCCCCTATTGCGTGGTGTAACTTGTGGGCGACCCTAAAGACCAAAACATTTGAAAAATATAATCTAAACATTAACTTTAAAAAGTGAAAAAATGACTCGCTTGAGTATTTACACAAAAAAATTGGAGCATTAAAACTAGATTTAGAGAATGCTAAAGCATATCAATCTTTATTATACTGTTGTTGTTTTTTTACAACTTTCATTGTTGTTAATGTTCTTGACATATTATTCAATATGTCTACAATTAATAAATCAAAAATTGTTTCAACTATTTTTGTGAGTAAACATTGTTAAACTTGTAACTATAGTATTTTAGTTGCATTAATATTATTGGCACATAATATCAAAACATTAATATTATTGTTACATAATGTCAATAATATTATTGGTACATAATATGAAAACATTTTTATTTTGGTACATAATATCAAACCATTAATATTATTGGTACATAATATTAAAACATAAACATTATTGGTACATAATATCAAACCATTAATATCATTGGTACATAATATCAAAACATTAATACTATTGATACATAATACCAATGCATTAATATTAATGTTACTTAATATCAAAGCATTAATATTATTGCCACATAATATTGTAGCATTAATATTATTGCCACATAATATTAAAACATTAATGTTATTTGCACATAAGATTAAAACATTGAATTTTGTAAAATGATCACCTTGTAATTTTTAAATTTGGATGCGTACTCATTTGTTATTTTTTTTAATAAGTCAATTTCAAGCGTCAATAATATTATAAAGCACCTGTATTGCTCACTCTATCATCTTTTTAGGCAATTTAATAGATAGCCTTTTATTTGTTTCAGGTGATTTTAAGTTTGCATAATGACTTTTAATCCACAAACCAATTTTTTATATTGAGGATTGTCCATATACACAAAATTTCACAAAAAACAAAACAAAAAAGATTAAAAGTTTTCCCTCACAGAGTCTTAATTTAAATAAAAAATTAAATTAGCGCATTAAATTTATTAAAAATCGCCATGTTGAAGAGCTTAATATCTCCAATTACTGTTTTTATTTTTATTAAAATAAATTTTGTGTTGCATAACTTACGGACAATCCCTTGTCTGGTATGCTTTTATAATGGCAATTATGGTAATAATTTAAATTCCAGTATAACAACTGCTATGCGTAGTTTGATAACTGTTGCACGCCTTATACATTCACTCTTCAAGTAACTTTTTTAGACAACTTGACCACGTTTTTATATAGCAAGCATTTTAAGAATTTGCAGCAAAACAAAACAATAAGAAACTAGATAATAAAACAGCAATATTCTGAGAAAAGAACTGAATACTATATGAAATAGAAAATCTAAATAAAATAAGGTAAAAAATAATTTCATAATAAGAAAAAAAAATTGTTGTCAAAAAAATAATAGACCTAAATGTTACTCTTTTTGTTTTCTTATTTTTTAGACGTTTGTTATTTTTCACTACTTAAATTGATACAAGTTGAGGAAAAAAGTAGAAAAGTTTTATAATGAAAATAAATATATTTTTTGATAAACAATTTTTTCGCAACTTTTTTCAGTCAGTATATAAAGGAAATAATTTATAAATTGCGAAAGAAACACGGACAAACTATAAATTTGTTTTTTAAATGTCATTGCTAAACATTACTGTTTTTATCAGGAAAGTGAGAAAACTAGCTGCTATTTGTTTGTAAAAAAAAAAATTTTTTTTAAGCAAGTTTTTCATGTAAAAAAATGAAACGATGCTGCAAAAAATTGTGGGAAAAAAAATTAACAAAACTTCTTATAGTTCTAGCGTACATAGCAAATTAGTTTCTTAATTATATGACTCATAAAAGTCGTGAATAAATTGCATATTAAAACTTTCTATTGTTGTTAAATTGTTATAAAAGATAATGTTTTTTCAACAACGACTCTAAAAAAAGAGTGGACGAACAAGACATGCAACTGCATACGCTTCCCAGGAAGGCTTGCATCAGGTAAATGAAAGTACTCACTTTTCTATCATCTGTAAATGAAAGTATTTACTTTACCATCACTGAGCTTCAGGAGAAATAGAATAAAAAAGCAAAAACTTCAACACAGAAAATTGACTCAGGAATAGACATATAAGTTTTTTGATTCTTGTTTTTTTTTTTTTGCAAGAAAATGAAGCTTGTTTTTTATAACAAAAAACAAACAAGGGCTTTGTTTATTGTTTTTTTTTTTTTGTTTTTTTTTTATATATTTTTAACAAATGACAGTTTCTTATTTTTAACACTGTTAAGAAATAATTTATTTAATAATTTAAAAACTTATTTTTAGGTGTTATTTGTTATATATATAAGACTTGTTTTCATTCTCCTATTTAGCATACACTTTTTTTTTTTCAATAAGAGACTTTTCATAAGATTCTAGAACTAAAAGCTCCATAATCTTAAGAAGCTGTTGTACTAAGTTAATTTTGAATAAGAAACTTGTTTTAGTAAGAGATTAAGATATATTTTAAAATTTTTCAATCTACATATTGTATCAACATAACAAGAAGTTAAAAACCATTTAGTATTTTTATAAAATACAGTAACAATAAATAGTGTAAATAATAACTGAGTGTTTTCAATTATTGCTTCTTTTTGTAGAAATGTTTTCAGAAGTCATAATCATTTTTTCTTTTTTTTTGAGCCAAACTTTTTTCATTTTTTTTTTTTAATTTAATAAAATTAATAAGAGTTAAAGTTATTTTATGAATGAAATAACACTTTAATAAATTAATTTAATAAATTATATTATATTAAATAGTTATATTATAATTTTAAAATGTTGTAAGCACTAATTAAGCAGATTTCTTTTCAAAACAATCAAATAAAGTTATAAAACATAAATTTTTAATAGTAATGAAATAGTCAGTGGCTACATCACTTTGCCACAGCATATTGTATGGTAATTACTTCCTTTAAGCAATATATATGAATTATATAATATATATATATATATATATATATATATATATATATATATATATATATATATATATATATATATATATATATATATATATATATATATATATATATATATATATATATATATATATATATATATATATATACAGTGGTGTACACTGGATTTTTAGATGTTTGAGTTTTGACACTTACAGGCATTGTGCAAACTTCAAACTTTTGTATGTTCATGCTTATGTCAAACAAGAATGTTTTACAAAGAGTTGTGGTGATTGGAGCTTAGGGACAAAAAAACCCCAATTTTTGGGCCCACCCAGCCCTTAATGCGGGAGCAACAAGTTGATAAAATAATTTCTTTAGTATTTTTATCCAAGTTTATATTCATCAACAAATTTCAAATTTCAAGCAATAATCTCTTATTTTTTGAAAATTATGACCATATAAAATTTTAACCCCCTCAATTTGAGGGGGCTGTAAACTTTGTAGGGTCATAAAAACTAAACACTAAGAGGTTATTGCATGAAATTTGAAATTTGTTGATGAATATAAACTTATATAAAAATACAAAAGAAATTATTTTATAAACTTGTTGCTCCCACATTAAGGGCTGGGTGGGCCCAATAATTGTGGGTTTTTTGTCCCCAAGCTCCAATCAATTAAATATTCATTATAATTAGT